GTGTGTATATATATGTGTGTATATATATGTGTGTATATATATGTGTGTATATATATATATATGTGTATATATATATATGTGTGTATATATATGTGTGTATATATATACACTTCATATTTTGCTGAGATTATGCTATCAGCTGCTTGACTTTTCAACAACAATTTTGGCTGAATGACAGGATGCCAAAGACTGTTTTGCAGGGAAAAGTGTTTATTCTAAATGTATGATGTGTTGAGCTGCAGGTGTGCCCAACCCTTTGCTCTATACTGGTTATCAGCTGGCAGAAAAAAAGGCCTTCCGTCTTTATTCCTGGTTATGAAAAAAACACAATTTCTATACTTAAAAAAAAAATGTCACCCTTATTAATTTAACACCGTTTAAAATTAGATTTTGGTATATTACAAGCTGTATGCTACTAAAGTATGTTGCAAAAGTCTTTATGTATTGAAACAAAAAAGTTACACTCCCATTTCTTGGTCATGTAAAGACAATGATGCATTTAATATTTGCTGTGATCGCTCTGATAACTACAGCTATGGTATTTGTCCTGATATTTTCTTATCTAGTTTGATTAATACACATGTTTTCTTCCATTTTTATACCCTCAGTGTCTAGATTAGGATATGATCATCATCACAGTCCACCACTCTGAGATAAACAGTATATTTTGCTATATTAAAATCATTAGTTTACTGATTATATAATGTTTTGTTATACCTAATGTACTTCACTATGCTCAGGTGGTTAACAAAACCCTCATCATGTCAACTAAATGAATTCTGTATATAATGCAAGTGAGAGGTATAAGAGAGGCGATTTCTGTAACAATAGAAGTATAATTTCTGACACGATTAACAGACCAGAAGTTGATCTTCGAGTTTGCTTGTTTTTTTTTTCAGAAACTTGGCCGCAACCCCTCCGATGAGGACTGCTTTTTTGACCTTCTCAGCAAGTTCCAGAGCAGCCGCATGGACGATCAGCGCTGCCATCTTGATGAGCCACAGAACGGAGACAACAGAGAAGGTGCTAATAACACGTCCCTAAATGAGATGATAGGTTGGTTGCTGTTATTTCAGGGCTTATGGGCTCTTTACTGTACACCTTGGGGAAAAAGTCTACTATTCTAAAACTTCACACTGAAAAAGTTCTGTTTCTTAATTTTTCTCCATAGATCCTGCAATTACCACATCTCCTCAGACTGAGGAGCTCTTCGACCTGATTGCTAGCTCTCAGAGCCGCCGCCTTGATGATCAGCGTGTTAGTGTTGGAAACCTCCCTGGCCTTAGGATTACTCATAACAACCTGGGACATTTGGTTGGCGAGGGAGATCTTCAAGAGCCCAGCGACGACTTCTTCAACATGCTTATAAAGTGCCAGGTCAGGAAACCGTTCCTATTCAACTTCTAAAGTTAAATAAGAACTTAACTGGTTATGCTTTCTTTTATTTCTAACCTTTAACTTAATATTAAAGATCTTTTTCTGGTCTAGGTTCTGATCCAAAGCAGATGTGTACACAAACCTTTTACTGCTCTGCTAAATATGAAGCGATCTTTATAGCTGTGTTGTTTCTCCAGGTCTGATTTGCTGACTTTGAATGAAACCATGCTCAATCTATGCATTTCCCCCCCCCTGAAGTATAATTATAGATAGAAAATAAAATCCACTTAAGGTTGAGCAACAAAATAGCTGGATACAAGATCACTTTTTTTTTTTTCAATGAAGCACGTGTCTTTTGTCTTTTGTAATTCTTTATAATAAGAAAATGCCTCAAACACATCCTATGATGCATTAATAGACTGAAAATAGTGGATGGGGTTATGTCTTTAACAATTTTTTTCTGTTTTTCTAAACTAAAGCCAGTCAAAAATGTGAGTCATTGAGGGGAAAATCGACAGACTCCCATCTCTGGCCTATTGATATGTTCTATCTGATAAATGTGAAATTTAGCGAGTTTGCTTTTTTTAATCCCTTGCAATGAAAATATTAATGTTACCCACACAGAAGTTGAGGTAGCACTATATTTTCAAAGGACTGTTTTAGGGCTGAAACAATCGTATTAATCGTAATTAATTGATTATTGTAATTATTACCAAATGATTTAGTAATCGATTAATCATTAACTGGAGTGTAGAGACTGTAAAACACACCTTTAGCTGACAGAGCGACCCACTTATAACAGTAATTATACCAAAATTGTAAAAAAAAATATATATAAACATTTAGCATTTAAGATAAAAAAAAAAGAATAATAATTTTCGCTGTAAGTATGCTCAAACTGAACAGAAATTATGTTATTCAAGATGTTGGAAGCTCAAATGAGAAGGGGAAAAAAGAAGAAGACAGGAATATGACTGATATTATTGCTCATTGCACAATCATCTAATGTCACATATGCCCATTGCATAAAATGCTGGTGATATCATCATTTCATAATCACATCTTCACTTTTACTGCCTTTATTTTCGGACTCTAGTCCTCAAGGATCGACGATCAGCGGTGCTCCCCCCCAGAAGCTGGCCCTCATGCCCCCACAGTGCCTGATGAAGATTTCTTCAGCCTAATCCAGAGGGTCCAGGCCAAGCGTATGGATGAGCAGCGTGTCCAGCTACCCTCAGATGACCAGGACGGCTCTCACTCCCCTGACCAGGAGCCACCTGGTGACTTTCCAAGCTAGGACTTGGTGATTAAAGCTGCACAATTTGTCATGTAATTTACAAAAACAAAGGAAAAGCACTAGAGAAAGAAAAAGATGGATAAGAGTAGACAGTAAAAGATGGTACTGATGGGTAAAATAACCAGTTTATTAATGAGAGAAATTAAATGTGCAATAGGTGGTGTTTTATTAAATGTTACTTGATGTATTATGTATTTAGGGTGTGTAAATATAATTTTTAAACGAGCAAAATGACTCTGGAAGTTTGCAAGAAAGTTTAGGTGTGACGTAACAAGGATAGAAACGGTGTATATACCCAGTCTAATGCCTTAATAAGATGGTTTCCAGACCTGAGATTGTATTCCCCAGTGTCGGATGCATTGCTGAATGCAGAGAATGGGCATACAGTATGATGTGAGAGTAAAGTTTCTAAACTGTGTTACAATGGGAGGTGTGAACTGACGTTTATTAACATGCATTCTAATGTTCAGAAACATTTCTTTCAATGTTTTGCTGATTCATGCTGCTTATGTCTGGTTTCCACTTCTCAGTGTTGTTTGATTAGTAGCAGTATTAATGTTTGCCAAACCTATTTGGTCATTTTAGTTATTAGACTGATTATTTCACTTTATAGTATTTCTTACCATCTTGGACAAATCATTTTGATTTATTGAAGTATTCATTCACTGCAAAAATAGAAATCTAAATAAGTCATTTTTTTCTTAAATAATTGCCTTTTTTCTTAACTTTAGGAGGTAAGTGAGACACTGTGCCAATGCAACAAGACAATTTACATTTAAGATAAGAAACAATAATTGTATTGTCTCATTTCGAGTGCATATTATCTAATTATCTTATTTTAAGGGTAAAAATTTTTAATTTTAATTTTTTGGGCAAATAATCTTATGTACCTACTGAAATTAAGGGTAAATACACTTCATTTAAGAAATGCTCACTTATTTCTAGATCTTTTTTGCTGTGTTGGCACCTCTCTGGCTTAAAGGGCAAATAACCTAAACAGCTTATTTACGGATAAAGGCCAGAGTTTTAAACTTCAATTATTTTAAATGGTTCTTTATTTTCATTATTTCTCTTCAAACTGATGCTTTTGGTTGTCTCTGAAGTTGAGAACATCTTCCAGCAAACTAAGTTTTATCGCTAATGAAAAGTGTTAAAAGACAAATATGTTTTGTGTCTGGTACTTACACTATATTATTACCAAAGTATTTGCTCACCTATCCAAATTATTGGAATTAGGTGTTTCAATTCCTTCTATGGCCACAGGTGTATAAAATCAATCACCCAGGCATGTAGACTGTTCTTACAAACATTTGTTATAGAATGGGTTGCTGTCTCAGTGAATTCCAGCGTGGAATGGTGATAGGATGTCATCTGTGCAACAAATCCAGTCGTGAAATTTCCTTGATACTGAATATTCCAGTCAACTATCAGATGTATCACAAGAAAATGGAAGTGTTTGATAATGAAAGCAAGGAAGGAGTGGATCATGTAAACTGACAGCGCGGGGTCAGCGAATGCCGATGCGCATAGAACAAAGAGGTCGGCATCTTTCTGCAGGTTCAATCACTAAAAGCCTCCAAACTTTATGACAGAAAGCTTCAGTTATTAAGCCAGTCTTCGATCAGCTGATCTCATAAGCAGAGCTAAATAGCAGTTTGGTGGAGGGGGGATTATGGTGTGGGGTTCCCTTTTGGGAGCTGGGCTTGGCTCCTTAGTTCCAGTGAGAGGAACTTGGAATTCTTCAGCATACAATGAGATTTTGGACAATTATATCTTTTTTATTTATTTATTCCATTCTCCCAACTTAGTGGGAAGTTTGAAGATGGCCCCTTCCTCTTTCAACATGACTTTGCACAAGTGCACAAAGCAAGGTCCAAAAAGACATGGATGGCAAGGTATGAAGGGAATGACCTTGACTGGCACCTAATGGCACCCCTTTTGCATGAATTAGCAGAGACTGAAAGCCAGGCCTTCACGTCCAACATCAGTGTGTGATCTAGCAAATCCATTTCCAGAAGAATAGTTAAAAAATTCCTATAAGTACACTCCTAAACCTTGTGGACCACATTTCCCGGAAGATTTAAGGCTTTTTCTATTGATCAGAAATGGGATGTCACTTAATATGTGAGTTTTTTTTGTTTTTTTTGTCATTACGCTGTCACAAGTACAGAGCTATGATATGAACTCTCACATTTAAGAACTCCCCTTAGGGAGCAGTGGGCTGCCATTGTGCAGTGCCCCGGGAGCTGTGTGGGGTTAAGGGTCTTGCTCAGGGACCCATAGTGGCAGTCTATGGGAGTGGGGCTTGAACTCAGAACCTTTTGATTCCAAGCGCAATGCTCTAACCTCCTAAGCCTCAACCCCCCTACAGTCAATGCAGGTGAGCAAATACTTTGCTCCACTTTCTCTGTGGCCTGAACCTTTACTGCGTCTTTGAGCTGAAGGGGTGCAGTCTTTACTATGAATGACATTGAGATTCATTTCCAGAGTTCTGTGTGATTTCTTTTGTTCTATTAATAACAAATATTATTGTAAATGCTTTAGAATAATCAGTTACACAACAGTAGTATATTTCAGTGTGGTAGTTATTTAGGGAGTTATTGATTAGGCATGGGCTGGTATAGGAATCTCAGGGTATGGTAAGACCTCCATGGAATTGCAGTAACTTGACATTTACACCAAACAAATATTTGCTCTCATTACATGTATTCAAGCCAGGAAAGAAGCAAGTATTCATGCTGCTGCAGAGTTTGTTGCGTCCTTGGTTAAGACACTTCACCCACTTTGATCACTGTTGGTGGTCAGAGGTTCCAGTGGTGCCAATTGTGTTGCAGCCTCCCTTCTGTCATTCTGCCCAAGAGCAGCCGGGGCTACAATGTAGCTACGCTCATCAGAGCAGGAATGACTGAATATAGTGTGAGGTGCTTTAGTCATCTGACATGAAAAAGTGCTGTAGAAAAACGCATTTTCTGACTGTGCGCAGGAGCAGATGGGAGTGGGACAACTTTTTTGTAACCATCCAAGAAATCTGTGCCAAAAAATAAAACTTAATTTAAATCAAGATCAATTTTAGCAGCTTTGAGAACAGTCCCCCCCCCCCCTAAACTTTAGTTATACCTCATGAGAGGTTACCAGCCCATGTCTAAGTTCAGACTGCACATAAGAAGCTGAAATTAAAACCTGCTACAGAGCTTCTATTTAATGGTACTGAGATTATATTTAACTAACTTTAGGCTTTCCTTTTTATTCAAAAGTTTTGCATACCTCATATTTGAACCTCAAAGTTCATACCCTGTAGTTAAATTGTAAAGGTCGAGCATCTTGGACCACATTTGAATATTTGCTCAAAATTTCTTTTATATTAAACATATTGGGAGCTGCATTTAATATATTCTTTTTTTTTTTTTTTTTTTTTTTTTTGTAAATTACAAGTTTTAAGAAAATGTATCTGGAATGCTTTTAACTGTCTTTGCCATAATATGTACATAAAAAATATATTTTGTATTTATGTTCCTTTCAAGGACATGAATATGTCGCCTCATGCTTTTAATAAAAAGTTTTGGATGTTGATTAGATTAAAGTCTTATTTTTTCCTCCTTTTAGGATTCAGAGAAAGAAGGCGGTGTTCACAATAGTTTGGCAACATATTTTGCAAAGTAAAAAGTTTCACCTTTTATCTTCAGCTCACGCAATTGGGGCTTTTTTTTCACTTTGTCCTGTTGGAACAGCACAAAGAGGCTAACAAAACCTGTTTCCTAACCTCAGATATCATTGCATAACCAAGATTAGGTTTTACTGACAAGTTTTATGAATGATGCCTGCACTAATTCTTCTGGGTTTTTTATTATTTTTTATTAGAAACTGCTTAAAGATGATGTTTGCCATGAATTCACGACACATTCTTTTACAGTGTGCAACATTCAAATCATTTAGAAAATAATTCCTCCTTTTAAAGTTTACTTCCTCCTAGACATTCACACTGCATGGTTCCTGTAGCACATATCTTCCTGTTCATAACATTCTAAATAGATAAACCCTGCAAAACCATAAATCAAAAAATTGTATGAACTTATTTATCTTTCAGAATATCGATCTATCGTCCTCTTGTCGTGTCTTCTTCTCGTGTGACCCCTGTCTTGGGTTTCTCACCAGCTTCCTTCTGCTCTGTAGTCATTCCCTCCCTCCCTCTCCTCGTCTTTTCTTCCTCCCTCTTACCCAGAATGCATCGCAGGCTGAGCAGGCTCAGCTGAGCTATAAAAAGGAATCAAATGGGGGAGGGAGGGCTGCCGTGCAGCAGGAACTGTACAGACGTACACACACAGGGAGCCAGGGAACGGCAGACTGTTACAGAGGGATCTAAAGCCTCAACGCAGAAGAGAGGTCAGTAAAGAGAAATCGAGGCTTGATAAAGGAGGTTCAGGCAGGAAGACAATAGTCTGACAATAGTTATTGCTTTGAAAGAGGCAGTGACAGGCAGAGAGGGCAGATCTATTTATTGCATGAAGAGGGAGGGTAAATTAAGCTGAGTGTGTGGTTGATAGATGTCAAATGATGTCTACAGACCTTTGGTAAAACATTAAAATTTGTAACATTGAGAGGACCAGATGTTTCTATAGTGCACAGGCATGCAGGTTTGGTCATTTATAGTGATGTACTGCTGGAAGTGAATTACATAATTACCTTGTGTATAATTACACACATTCATGTTTTGTTTCGACTTGCCATTACAAAGACTTGCCCTCTTTTTATCTATGCACAGAGATAATGTAAAACCTGCAACCATTAAAGGTCATTCTATGCAACTCCCTTCAGCTGTTTTATTCCACTTTGGTGCTTTTAAGCCCTATAAAGGTCACATCCAGCCTATTAGTGTCAGAGTTATCGATTTTGCTACATAATCGAGCTGCCACTATCCTGAACAACCAGATCACTAACAACATGATTTTTCTTTCTCCATCCGTTCACAAACCTCATGGAATGCCTCAAGTGCATGACGTCAAAGGATCCTTTAAAGGGGCAGCACGCCTAATTAAACCTCAAAAAAAGCTTTGTGAATTGGTGCACTGGAGTAAATGCTCTGAAAAACTCTCAAGCATGTTTTCATGCCTAGCCCTTTGCAGTCTCCTTTTCGGTGTGCTTAATGGGTGTCACTATATCCTTTAACAGCTGCAGACTTGCTGGTTCTTTTTTTAGCAGGACTGACTGCATGTAAAAAAGCAGCAATAAGACATGTGAGTTATGGAGTGTCCGACGATGCTCATTTATTTTCAGTTTTCTTTTGGATTTTCATTTTCAATACAATATGGATAACATATTTCAAATGTTTTCAATTCAGCATCTAATTTCCATCTTTTCAAAGTGAAATATGTTGAAGTCATAAATACTTGAATTTTGATTGTAACAGTGCAAGAAAAACTGGATTAGTTCTTTGGGGGAGTTTATTAGTCTGGTTAAGTTACCAAAGAACCAAAGCTCCCAGAGGAGGGCACCATAATAGGCCAGACCAAGATTCCTAAAGAGGTACCATGCTGACTCAGATAACTGCCCACATGTGACATTTACACTGGCTATGGGGTCAGTGCGTGGTATGGTATAACCAGACACCTAAGAATACAGCACCATCCATCATTTGGGAGACTGAAAATAAAATAAGTACATCATTAAACAGCATTTTAGTTCTATTTCATGGTAGCTGGACTGAAATACTATTCTAACATCCATTAATGGTTAAACTGATTAAATCTGTTTAAACTTGCCATAAGAAAACCATTGCACAGGCCATGATATGTTTTTATTCCTTTTTGTTTCATCTATGAATGCGACCACAGTTTCTTAAAAAAAAAAAAATATATCAGCAGTAGGTGTGTGTTTTTTATTTTGCTGGATTTTTGTGTCACAATTAGAGCACACATTTATTAAAAATCTATGCATTTATTAAAACTGGCATATCCAGCATTAAAGGACTAATGTCTCAGCAGGACTTTTGAAAGCTCATTTTAGTATAACTAATTGCTGCAATGGTCTCTTCACAGCTTGGCCTAAAAAGTACCACACCTGCAGTTGATCCAGAATGCTGCAGCCTGTATCCTCACTAAAACGAGGAAAGTAAAGCCTAAGTAAAGTCCTCACATCGGCTGTCCATTTCTCACAGACTAATCTTTAAAACACTTTTGTTAGTCTATAAATTATTGAACGGCTTAGCACCAAAATACATTACAGACTAATTAACCACCCAGACCTCAGATCTTCTAACTTAAATCTACTCTGCCTACCCAGAACGAAACATGGAGCTGTAGCTTTAAGTTCCTATGCTCCACTGATTTAGAATAAACTTCCAGAAAACTGTTATAGTAGCAGAACCCTGAGTTGCTTTAAATCTAGATTAAAACAATTTTCATTTAGAGTGCCCTTTCACTGTGTGATCTGAACATCATTTTCAGTCAAACCTTTTTTTTTAATCAACATTATTTTATATATAATCATCTTTCCCACATTCTTTCAATATGTCAAATGAAGCTAGCTGCCATTTCCCCTAGTCCTGACCACACCACTGAACCCAAACTGTTCATCCCAACGGGTCACAGCATGGGTCACAGTTGTTTTAATCTCCGATTCCATTATTTTCCATGTTACACTGGCTGCAGTACATATAAAGAGGCTCTTATGCAGGGTGAGCAGATCCACTGAGACAGATTATGAAAATTTATTAGAAATAGATAAATGAATAAAAAAAAAATTAAATAACTGACACAGCTACAAAGCAAAGCCCCACTTTGTTAGTGTCAATCCATATCCTGTCCTCCTGAACTCCTGTTAATGGTAAAGTATAGACTGTATACAGACTATAGGGTGTACCGCAAAATAAGCCGTGCCCACTACATTTTTTTAAAAACTGGAAACTTGCATATATAGGCCACTCATATCTACTGAACTGTCTCCCAGCAAACCTGTAGGGGAAGCTCTACATATAGATGTTAGAGGGGGGACGTTAGATTGTTGGCTCACAGCAATAGGAGCTTCTACTAAAAGATGGGGCTTCTTTGACCTACCCCTCTGGCGGTTAAGAAAAATCCAGAAAAGCTGCACCTTCTTATAAGCTACATCGGCGGTCTTCAACAGGGGGTCCGTGACCCCTAGGGCGTCCATGGAGGTACTGCATGGGGGTCGCGAAAGTTTGGTTGATAAGACTTTTTTTTACATTCAACCCTGCAATTTTTTCCTCTAATTGAAATGTTTTTAAATTCACATTAACATGAATTCACCATACTGTAGTAAACAGATAAATGGAGGCAGAAGATGTCTTTCAGGCATCAATGAACACATTCGGCGA